TAACTTAACTTCTTAACCATTACAGAACAAAGTCATATAAACCATAAAATGACTGGAGATTCCCACAGCAAATATCTGTTGGACGTTCTTTTATTCCAACAAAAGCGTCTAATTTTTAGAATTTAAATGAAAATGAAATATTAAGTAAAATGCATTCCAATCACATAGCTGTAGAAATAGTAATCATCATCCATGACCATGATTTCGTTTTACTTGGTTTGGGAGTTAAAACAATGTTTGTGTAATTAGATAAAACACCGCGAAGTTCCTTTAACGAAAGAACATTCGCTCAGCGTGATTCTAACAAACGAGCGAGAAATAAAACGCCCCGCGGGCTCTCAGATGGGCTTAACAACACAAACCCCTGACATTCGTTTCTCTCACTGTAAAAACACACTCAGTCGCGACGGATCGATGCTCTGAATGGCCTCATTTAGCGCAACGCATCCTACAGCACGCAGCGCTATATCTGCAGAGCTTCTCGTAAGCCTGTCGTTAAGACAACTGTGATGAGAGCTGAACTCATACAACATGAAGTCTGGCTTGATAAGAGACTTCAATTACACGCCAAACAATCTCTCCTCTCTAAATTATTCATCCTATACGCTACGCTGCCGATGAGATGCTGCTCAGATTCTCCAGCGAGAATTTTGGGGAAAAAGGATGTTAAAAATTTTAAGCATTTTAAGAAAGTTATTTTAATGAAAGCAATGCATGCAGAGAGCGAACGGAAAGCAACTGTGTTAATGTCTATAAAGGTAAGTAAATAAAATCGAGAAATACTACGCACGCACACACACATACAAAACAAAAAAAGGAAAAGTAAATTACGTACATCAAAAGACTACACACAAAAACCAACGAAGTAAATAAACACATTTGTTTCTTTAAGAAAAATGAAAGAAAATGTACGAATTAAGCTTTAACTAAGAAAACAAATGTCAGCCCAACTTTATTTTTTATGCGCTTTTTATTGTTTTCATTTTATATATATGTATATATATTAAGTGCATGCAGAAGTTAAATCCTGAATATCTTCTGTAAATAACACATGTGCAGGTTGCTCATACATCCGCACTGGAGCGTTTCTAAACCCCAATTCATTACAGCTCACTGCCATCTAATTACAATAACACCGAATAACCCGAATGACATATCAGTCTCTAAAAGCGTTTCATTACGCTCCTAATTTTACTGACCATAAACGCTATGAGAAATTAAAAATACAACTCTATCTAGTTTTAAACGCTGTCATCTGTAAGACCCTTGATTGTGTTGCAATTGTATACGAACAGACTGAAGAATTAGAAAACAGTTCGGCCAATCTGGATCAGCATGTTTTTGGTATTATCACAATATTACAGAAGCTACATCTCCACTACCATGCGACCATGAGCGCGCGCGCGCGCACACACACACACGTTTGATCGATTTAAAGCAGTATCCAGCTTTTTGAGTATAAGATGAAATTGCGTTGGAAGCATACAACACTAGCAGTGCGCGGTCAATAACCTTACAGTGGCAAAAACTGTATCTTGTTTAATTTAAGTTTTTAAAGACCATAATTGAGTTCTATGTAAAAAAAATAATAATAATAATTGCATTAACAAATTTGTATATTTTCACCGTACGATCAAATATACACACAGTGAAATAACAAGTTCACAACATGTCAAATCGTTGTAATGTAGGTTAAATAAAGTAAAGGCTTATAGGTTAAATGTGTGCTCTTAATGCCGTCTGTAGAGCCTAACCTGAAGGCGCCGCGGCTCGAGCGCTGGATGTTCAGGAGGAGAGAGTCTCTTCAGCGCACCGAGGCTGCGATTGGCCAACTGCACTGACAGCTCCTCCGCTGATTGGCCAAGAACCGATGCCCATCCCCTTTTCACTCCAGCTAGAGGACCATTCATAAACTAAACAATTCCAACACTCAGGGCTGAGTCTGGACAACTGCACACTGGCGCACAGTTTTCACGCGCAAACACAAGTGAGAGAGATGATGACATGACGCGCGGAGATTTATCCTGCAGCTGATACTGGCTTAAACCCTTAAAACCTTTTCAAGTCGAGTTGTTAAAGTCGCACTGCGTTGCATCCACCCGTTTCCTGGTCCAAACTTGACGTCTATCCGCTGTGGGCGCTAACTTCATCACTTCAGTTTTTTTTTTCTCTTTACTGGGAGTTTTCACCGGTAAGCATTGGATCCATCGGCGTACTGCGAAACTCCGGTCTACAGTCCGGATCTGTGCCCCAATATGATTGCAACGCAAGCAAAGCTGGTTTACCAGCTTAATAAATATTACAACGAAAGATGCCAGGCGCGCAAAGCGGCCATCGCCAAGACCATACGAGAGGTGTGTAAGGTGGTGTCGGACGTGCTGAAGGAGGTGGAGGTTCAGGAGCCCCGCTTCATCAGCTCCCTGAGCGAGATAGACACGCGCTTTGAGGGCATGGAGGTCATCGCGCCCAACGAGTTCGAGGTCGTGCTTTACCTGAACCAGATGGGAGTCTTCAACTTCGTGGATGACGGCTCTCTGCCGGGCTGCGCGGTGCTCAAACTCAGCGACGGCCGTAAGAGGAGCATGTCCCTGTGGGTGGAGTTCATCACCGCCTCCGGTTATCTGTCGGCGCGAAAGATCCGCTCCCGCTTCCAGACGCTGGTGGCCCAGGCCGTGGATAAATGCAGCTACCGGGACGTGGTTAAGATGGTGGCGGACACGAGCGAAGTGAAACTGCGCATTCGGGAGAGATACGTGGTGCAAATCACCCCGGCCTTCAAGTGCACGGGCATCTGGCCTAGAAGTGCCGCTCAGTGGCCCATGCCTCACATCCCGTGGCCCGGGCCGAACCGGGTGGCGGAGGTGAAAGCGGAGGGGTTTAACCTACTCTCTAAAGAGTGCTACTCGTTAACGGGGAAACAGAGCTCGGCGGAAAGCGACGCCTGGGTCTTGCAGTTCGCCGAGGCCGAGAACAGGCTTCTGATGTCGGGCTGTAGGAAGAAATGTCTCTCTATTTTAAAGACTCTCCGTGACCGACACCTCGAGCTGCCGGGACAGCCGCTCAATAACTACCACATGAAGACCCTGCTGATGTACGAGTGCGAGAAACACCCGCGGGAGACTGACTGGGACGAGTCGTGCCTCGGCGACCGTCTGAACGGTATTCTGCTGCAGCTCATCTCCTGTCTGCAGTGCCGCCGGTGCCCACATTACTTCTTACCCAATCTAGACCTGTTTCAGGGTAAACCACACTCAGGCCTGGAGACAGCGGCCAAACAGACCTGGAGACTGGCCAGAGAAATCCTCACCAACGCGAAAAGTTTGGATAAACTGTGACATTTTATGTCGGTGAATGTTAACGGACGCTTGAGATCACAACACTGAAAGTGGAGAGAATGTGATCGTGGTGCTCTCCGAGTAATGAAACCAAGAAAATAAAAGATTAAAATAAAACACGCCGAAGCATTTGCTTCTGCAAAGGCTCAAACGGGACATTGCAGGAGAGCGAAATGAAGGTACATTTTAAACTAAGTGTAATGATTTTGTTGTTTGTTTGAACTCTTTTCACAAAGTGAAAATTTTATTTAAATATATGCACAAGATCTTTAATTGCGAATTACAAAATGTAGCGTGCCAAGTTCAATTTCTTTCATGATGTGATCAAAAATTGAAACGTGTAATAAAATCATGACACGATGAAATTTAAACTTGGCATTTGTCATTACTCAATTAAAAACTGCTGACATTAATGGGATTACATTACATAAGCTAGATGCATAAATAATCAAGCATATAGTTTTGTGATTTGTCTTCGCTATTTAAACAAAAGTATAGCTAAAAGTAATATTAGGACAGTGTGTGTCTTTGTGGACTGGCCATTCAGTTTAACTCGTAGAAAACGAAACGTGGAAAATACACGTAGCATGTTGCTGTAAAGTAAAAAAGAAGATTTAGTAAATAGACACGAGCAATAAAATAAAGATTGGCGTATTTTAAAAATAATAGCAATACTGGATTGCATCTTTTGTGAAACAACCAAGACCATTTACACTACAAAATAAAACGTAAACAGCCGATCTCTCACACAGACCAACAGTACTTCATCTCACTGATTAAAATCAATTCAGCATTACATGAAATATAAACATGTTCAAATAAAGACACTTTGCATTTTAATTTTTTCGATTGAATAAAAATAGGCCAATGATGGGAGTAAAGAAATCTGTTCATTTACTCTGGAAACCCCCGTTTAAAAACAAAAATCTTGTTTTATCATCAATTGTAAAAATAAAAGCACCTTAGAATTAAACAGCCTACTGAAAGAAATGCTTAGACAATGTTTTGCAACAAACAAACAAATAAATAATCTACTAAAAGCCATATAGCTATTTTATTCTGACAAAAGTAACCATTTTACTTCACAATTCTGTTACTATAGTAAAGACAGCAAAATATTATTAATATAGATTTTAGGAAAACAACTTTATTGAAAGCAAGATATGCCAAGTGCATAAACAGAAAAGGAATTTGATAGTTAAGGAAATATTGAACGTTGATACTTTGTTCTTCCAAAGGCAAAACAAAAGTCCTAGTGAATCAAGCATTCAGAAGAATGTAACAAATTAACTCATCCTCTTCTGTGCCTTAATAGTCAGGATTTTCGGTGGCACACATCAGCGACAAGCCAACGGTGATGGCAAGTTACACTTTAATAGCCTTGACCCACATATGTTAAAAACAGTTGAAACACATGCAACATGCTATAAAGGAAAGAGAAAGCAATATTTTCTGCAAGATAAGATGACCACAAAAAGCTAGTACTCAAACCCTTTGAAGGAAAGGTAGTCATATTTAAAAAAAAAAAAACTAACAAAAATACACATACTGGTGTTGTGAATGCACATGGAAGGACTTTGGTTATACTACGGCTAGTCGCTCCATTTTTTAGTATGCACTGCTCATGGGACAATTGGAGTCATTTTGGATGAGAAACCCTCTTACCTTGGGATCAATGTTCTTAAAACTCGGGTCTTCTTCATCCACCTCAAAGTATAACTCCAGGGCCGTGATGGACAGTGTGCCTTTTACCACTACAGCGGGTGCAACCAACAGTGCGCTGGTGCTCAGGTTAACAGGCCCTACGGATCACAGAAGAGCACAGCGGTTAGTGTGTGTGTGTGTGCACGCCTCCCACATCCTCTGCTGCCCTTGGCATAGAAACCCTTTCAAAGGAGTACGGAGTGTTTACTCGAACACATAAACTCAACAAGGGTGCATACTGACTTCCTGATAGAACATCTTTAGTTTTTAATAAGCTTGAGAGGAAAAGCCAAGTAAAGCTACATTCATGTTACATTCATTTGAGGATAATAAAGCTGAAATCAAATGATCACTCAATAATAAACACTAGACACAATATAAATATATTGCTTTAGGCTTAATCTATACTTTATTGCATGCAATTTATTAACAAAACATCATAATATTACAACTTTCTTATTATTACTGTTTAGGAACTAAACATGAAAAAAAAAGATTTGTTAAATGTAAACAAATAAATTAAATGCATTCATTGAACAATTAATTAAAAATATTAAATTAAAATATATAGTATTTTTTTAAAAGCAATTTCATTAACCTAATCCATAAATAGGATTATCTCGTGCACAATGGCATATTTAAGCGCTTCATCTGTCATAGAAACGGTATTGTCGCAATGTCAAAAATGCGCTGAAATCCGCTGTCAATCAGCGCTCATTGATTGCGGCTTTGGGTTTAATCTGTCATCAATCTTAATTTATGCCAGCATGACAATGTTGAAGGGTTGCTCTGGGGAATTTCTGCCTCTCTACATGCGCAAAGCATCGGCTATGCGCCTGCAAACTGCCGCTGCACTCCATGTTTGATTTCCCAAAGCACCCTTCAATTCACAAACGCATGGCATGATCAGATAAGTTCATCAGCACGAAACACGGCTGAGACACAACACGGGGTTTTTTTTCCGAACACGTTTCAATTATACCTGAATCAAACAGCTTCCTAAATGGATGATCTGCAACGACACGAATCTCCACGATCATTTGCACTTTATTTGAGAGAGATTGTCTTTTATTGTAGGACAGACTGCCAGCCCAAATGAGATAAAAAATGTATAAACGCGTTAATGGGGGG